GGTTTGTGCTGGTTCCCGCAAGGCTGGCCAGGGAGGACGGTGAGGCGTCTCACCTGAGTCCTGGGCAACCATGGCGAGGGACCATTGTGCTCAGCTGGTCGTGCTGGGGGCCTGAGAGGCTCTGTAGGGCATGGGTGGGGTACAGATATTCTCTCTGCTCTTGGTCCCCTGGCCTGTGGGCTGCTGTGTGACTGAGCCTTGCTGAGCTGTTCACCACTCCCTCTTTCCTCTCAGAAACCAGTAAGGACAGCTCTGGCGCCAAGCCAGCCACCAAGCGGCCCATGTCCTCCCTGGAGATGTAAGCAGGAAGCCCCTTGGAGGAACTGAGGCTGGGGGTGGGTGGCTTGTAGGAGGAAAGAGCAGTGGAAAGGGTGGGGCCTCGATTCTCCTTTACCTGTCTGGGAGCCTAAGGCGGTGTGAGCCCCCACCAGGTGTAGCACCAGGTGCAGCTCCTGCTTCCACACTACCGTTGAGACCTACATGAACACTTGCTCTTTCCCTTTTCCTTCTACCTTCCAAGGAAATCTGCTCCAAAGAAATCTAAGGCAGACGGTCAGTGAGAGGCAGCTGCTCTGCACCTGGATTCTTCTCCAGACCCCCTTCTGCTTCAGGAACACCGCCCACCCAGCGCTCACACTTTCCCCTCAGGAGCCACTGGTCACCATTTGTTCTTCCTCCTTTTTTTTCTGTTTTAAAAATAATCTCGACAAAGCACAGTGTACCACTGCTGTTGGAAGAAAGTGGAAGGCAGATGTAGAAGAGCAGAGAGCAAGCGAGACAGAGCGCGCCTTCCTCTCCTCCCCCAGTGCCTTCCACTGGGAGCTGAACAAGCCCGCAGTTCTCCAAGGCCCCCAGGGAGAGAAACAAAGCCAGTGTGAAGTCGAAAGCATGCTCCTCCAAAGCCCGTGCTCTTGGTGTTTCTCACCCTTGGCTCAAGGGGGCAGTCGTGGGCACAGAGGGAAGCACCTAAGCTGAGGAAGGGCCCCGCACCCTGTCTGCTCCACGCTGCACCCTCTACCCCGAGAAGCTTGGCAGGAGCCCAGCTGGGGTTCTGGCTTGTTCCATGTTATGTTACCTTTGCATTTCCCATCCCCCCACAGCCCGTGCTTCGGCTAATCCAATCCTGTGTGCCCAGCAGTTTTCTCAGCAGCTTTTGTCCTCTTCCTCCCACTTCCTTCTTTCCTGTTTAGAGAGAGATGAAATAAAAAGGAAGGTGGACAGAAGAGCCCTGGCAGCCTCAACAGTGTTGTGTGAAAATCTCCCGACTCCCAGTGGCGCACAGCAGCCCTCCCTGCTTAGGTCTCCCTGGGTCAAAGCTGGGGCCACATCAACTGCTGCATTTGCTGTATTTTTTTTTTTTAGTTGAAATTGATGAGATTAACATTTTTATTGTAATTTTAGTCTTAGCGTGTGGGGTTTTGTCTGTTTTGTTTTGTTGTCAGCTGTGTACAGAATGTGTATCTTTCTCTTTTTTTTTTTTTACTTTTTTTTTTTGGCTAGGCCTTCTTTCTGGAGGAAAAGCTGAGGGTAGCCAGGGCAGGAAAAGCTTGGAATCTACCCTGTGGGCCTGGTGTTCACTACCCAGCCTGATTTCTTCTTGCTGGCCCCTGCCCTCTGCCCCTTTGCCTGTCCCCAGGACTCTGGGACGGGGGGGTGAGCTGTCAAACCTCTTCCCCATGGGCGACTTCTCCCCACCTATAGGATCCAGCATGCGCATCTGTTAGAGCCTGAAGTCAGTTGGGTTTCGGATGAGGACAGCCCAGAGTGGGTCCTGTGTTCTCAGCACCCCCAGGCTCACTCCCTGGTGTAATTGGCTCAGAGGATCTGACACCCTTAACTGCAGCCACCCACATCCACAGGCCTCCAGTCAGTTGTCCCAGAAAGGGTGGGAGAGGGGAACTCAGCCTTAGAGGCAGCCTGGGAGGGCAAGGGTGTGGTGTTACCCCGGAGGACCTCAGAGAAGGAGCAAGGTAATATAGCACCCGGCACCAGTTCAATTAATTTGCAGCACTGGGCCTGAGCTGTGCCAGTCCTTAGGGCCAGACTTGGAGGGACGTGGGCTCTGCTTGGAGTGGCTAATGAGACAGCTTTCTGCTTCACACCCAAGCTTTCAAAGAGCAAGGCTTGCAAGCAGGTTACAGAAGGATTTAAAACAAGCAGCCAATGACTTCGGACATCCAGTTCTGCCCTGGAGACGCAGCTATAGCCGGGTCCCTGGCCTTTGCAGATCCCTGCCACCAGCCTGTGCCCTCTGGGGCCTCTGGTTTGTTGTATTATAGTATATTTCGCTGTGGAAAATGTCACGTTTAGTCACCTTGGAGCCCACTTGCCTGGCTCCATTGTCCCCCCACTGCCCTCCTGAGCACCCTTTGATTTCTCGTTTCTGAGAACAGTACTCCCATTCATCTATTGTAGAGTAACCCCTGTGATGCAATATTACCATAGTGCGATGTCGTTTTGTGCTATTTTGAACAATTAAAATACTTTTTTTGAAATAACCACTTGTTTCCACTGTTTGGGGACTCCCACCAGAGGAGGCAGTAGGCAGAAAGTAAGGCCCACAAACACTTAACCAAAGCTCTTGGGAGCCTCTTGTTCACAGCACCTGCTGTGAACAGGATTCTGTTTCCCAATTGCCTGCTAAGTTTCAACGCTTCACTGCATCTGTGGCCTTGGGAAGCTGCTGACAACTCTGTCTGGGTACTGGATCCCCTTCTCCCTGGCAAGAGGGTAGGAGCCTGGGGCAAAGGCAGGTTGCCAGCTGCTGGCTGCCTTGGACAGTGGGAGAGGGCTGAACTGCTTCCACTAAGAGCTTAGGGGCCCCAGTGTCCAATCCCCAGGACGGATGTACATTGCTCTTGGGGTAGCCCCCACATCTGGCGCTCAACAGGCGCTACAAGAGTAAACTATCTTAATCTGGCTCTCTTGTCCTCAAGCCAGGTTCCCAAAGAGGAGTGGAACTTCTATTGAATTGTGATAGTCCCACTGTTAGGTGGGTGGTATAGCCAGAATTAGATGGCTGGCATTAGTGGTTAGTGCCAGCCAGCCAGGAGGCCCAGAGGGGAGGACTCAGTGTCGGCATGTCTTGGTGCCAGGTGGGCAGAGGGGAGCAGCAGCACATGGGGTGGTGGGTGTTGGGGCACTAGACCACTTCTTCAGCAGGCTACGCCTCAATTCCCCTGTGCCCACCCACTCTGCTACCAAAAGCAGCCGCCTCTGCCCTATAAGTGCACCTGCCTGGGTGGAACAAACTGATTGGTAAGGGGAAAGCCCAGTCCGATTTCACCTCTCGTAGGTGAGCTCTTTCCCCCTGCTGTCTCCCGCCTGCTTCCTCTGCTTGGTTCGTGGAAAGCAGAGTCCTGTTGATTTTAACCCTGGGAGCCTCTGCCCTGTCTTCCCACCCTACCAACTCTACCCTGAGTCTGTTGGCTTAATAGGGGCAGTGGGCAGGCACATGTCCTTCAGATAGGAGTGGTAGAACAAGGGTTAACGGGTGCTGTGTGGAGCTGGCCCCAAAAGGGGAGGACCCTGTGCAGATCTGCCAGGTATGTGACACATGGTTCCGTGTAACATCTTCCCACCCACTCTGCTGTCCCTATGCTCACCTGCCTCAAGGAGACCTGCATGGTACTCCAGAAGGCAAGGGCCACGCCAGCAGTGTCTTGGCACTGATCTAAAACTACGGGCCTCCAGTCCGAGCACGCCACTCCTCAGCCTCCTAGAGAGCTGCCCGTGGAGAGGAGTGGCCCCAGTTCTCCACGTTGGGAGTGGCCGAGGTCCTGTCCAACGGACCCAGGGCCAGGCGGCCGACCTGTAGTAACCTTAGAACCTTCTACATGCTGAGGTTCATCGTTTGCTAGGCATGAGGAGAACAGAGTGCAAGGAAGGCAGGGCAAAGGTTGCCCTTTATAAATAATGACAGGCATCTGGGCAGCGTGGGTAGATAACGAGCCCGGCTGGACCGAAAGCCTCAACCCTGCCCCTAAGCATGAGCAAGGCGGAGAGTGGAGGCAACACAGCAGCTACAATGCACAGCCCCGCGCAGGCCGGGAGGTCAGACTCATTCCCAAGCATCATGAAGGGGAATTCTGTGGGGTTGGGAGGATCAGCTGGCAGCAGGAACTCCGCCCACCAAGCAGCCATTGGAAGGAAGGCGGCAGCCACTGTGACATCAAAGACCAGAGAACAGCAGTGGGGGGCTGTGGTACAGCACCATGCCCGAGACGGTTGGAGCTGCACCGATGAGGCAGAGGCCCAGTTACACTGTTGGGCTGCAATCCATCCTTGCCAACAAAAGGATGACTAACTCAGAAGTCCAAACCTCCAGAGCTACGCCAGGAAGCCAGGGGCCTCAGGCAGGGAAAGTAGGGGGCAGTTCAACCAGCTTTCCTTGAAACACTGGATCAGGTCAGGCACTCACAGAGCCACCCAAGATCTACATGCTGGAAGACGGGCCTGGACGACTTGGGGGCCTGAGGGCACAGAGGTCCTGGGACACCCACTCTGACCTGCACAGTCACTGTCTGGTTTTTGAGCTGTGTCACTTAGTGAAGAAATCCGCAGCAATGGCCAGCCGCTGGTTGCTGACGGAGGAGCTGATTTGTCAGAGAGCCTGTGGGGTCAAGGGTCACAGGGGCCTCTGGATTCAGGCATTTCCAACTGTCCCCTCTTCTGTGGCCCATGACTGTGCTGGGGCCACCGCCCACCCCAACAGGCCCTCTCCAACCACCACCACTACGGCCTCTCTCAGGGCTCAGTTCAAGGGCGGAGAACCGTGGCTTGTCCGGGGTAAGGCGGCCCCACATCCCCACAACATCCTGCCAGCTCACCCAGCATTTCCCACCACATCTTGAGGGAAGGGCGCCCAGCACTGGCCATCACAGGGCTCTGCTGGACTCTGCCGCGCGAGGGTCGCAGCGGGGACCACCTTAGGGGTGAGGCTAGAGCGCGGAGGCGCAGACGCGCGGCCGCCAAACCCCGCCCCCGGGGTCTGGCGGAACCTCCGGGAGTGGAGTTGGGGGAGGGGTTAGGGCGCGCCTGGATCAGCTGAGTGACAGTCACGGGATCCCGACCAGCAATCTCTGGTATCCTGGAGGAGGAACGTGCCGGGGTCTCCTAGTGTGGCAGGCCAGTGGTGGGACCCCTCGAGGGGGGGGTGTTGTTCTGTGCAGATCTCTGGAAACGGTGGAGTCAGTCCTGAGGCTGGTCCCAGGCCAGAGCGCAGAGCAGCACAGGGGTGGGGGAACCCTAAGGGCTGGGTCCCCAGGCCTGGAATCTTAGGGGAGATGGCTCAGGTGGCCCTGGTGGTGACCTAGGTCACAGAGGAGCCCAATGAGGAGGCTGGGACCCTGGGAAGATGGGGAGACCTGTGGGGGAGCTGTGCCTCCAAGTCCTGAACTCCCCCAGGACATGGAGAAGGAGCAGGAGAACCTGCAAGCGTGGAAGGAACGTGTGGGGCAGGAGCTGGACCGTGTGGTGGCTTTCTGGATGGAGCACTCACATGACCAGGAGCATGGGTATCCCACACTTTCAGCAGGGTTTCTGCCTCTCCTGACCCCCCGCCTCACTCTCAGACAACTCTGATCTGCTGGACCCAGTGGAGCAGTGGTCCCGTGGTGGGTGGGTGCAAGGCCTCACTAACTGGCCTCACTAACTGGTGTCCCACAGGGGCTTCTTTACTTGCCTCGGCCGCGATGGGCAGGTGTATGACGACCTCAAGTATGTCTGGCTGCAGGGGAGGCAGGTATGGATGTGCCCAGGCTTGTGGGTCTCCCAGGGCAGAAGTCAAAGTCGCGCTGGCCTGTCATACCTGGGCACGCACACACAAGGCCTATCATTTCATCTCTACCTCCCATGACAGGCACTTAGGACTCCCCCACACCCCAGCGCCGAGGACACCACTGCTCCTTACTTCAGCCATGTTCCTTCTGCTCCCCCACAGGTGTGGATGTATTGTCACCTGTACCGCAAGTTTGAGCGCTTCCGCCGCTCGCAGCTTCTGGATTCAGCCAAAGCAGGTGCCCCCTCCCTGCCCCCATCGCCCCAGAAGCACCTCCAAGTTTACTCAGTAGTGCGTGTCTGCCTAGTTTCCGGATGGGTCTAGAAGCCGCAAAGAGCCTGGAGACACTCAGGTGGAGAGGAAGGGGGAGGTGGGGGTGGCCTCATCTGAGTTCTAGCATGCCAACTTCCCAACCACCAGGTGGCGAGTTTTTGCTGCGTTTTGCCCGAGTGGCACCTCCCCGGAAGAAGTGTGCCTTTGTGCTAACACGAGATGGCCGCCCAGTCAAAGTGCAGCGGACCATTTTCAGCGAGTGTTTCTACACCATGGCCATGAACGAGCTGTGGAAGGTGACAAGGGAAGAGCGGTATCAGGTGCGTGGGAGGAAGGCTGCCCTGTGAGTGTCTGTGCCCTCGCCTGTGCTTGACATGGTCTTCTGATGTATTCCTGCTCCATGTGTGAGTCCCCTCTGCAGGCTGCATCTGTTGTCAGTGTCAGTCCTTCCCCTGGGCCCTCATGGTCCCAGGGCTGCTGGCAGTGTCCTCCCCCCCCCGTTATTATCACTGTGTGTATACCAGGATTGCACCCCAAAAGTCTCCTTCATCTTTGAGCATCCCTGCACCCCTACAGTGGCCCTGGGCAGAGAGGGACCAATCCACCATGGTTCCCAGCAGCCAGCCTAGGGCCAGGCACAGAGCAGGCCCTCGGTGAAGGTGTCCTATGAGTGCGAGGGGGAACACAGCTCTCCCACCCCAGAGCTGAGTCCTGGGGCCCCTGCAGGCCAGGACCTGGGTCAGGACACAGCCTCCACCCGGATCCTGCCCCTCTCCCCCTCCCCAGATTGAAGCGGTGGAGATGATGGATGAGATCGTGCACTGGGTGCGGGAGGACCCGTCGGGGCTGGGCAGGCCCTGGCTCTCGGGGACCCCGGCCTCGGAGTCCATGGCGGTGCCCATGATGCTGCTCAACCTAGTGGACCAGCTCGGGGAGGCGGCCGAGGAGCTGGCGCGCAGCTATGCGGAGCTTGGGGACTGGTGTGCTCAGAGGATTCTGCAGCACGTCCAGGTGGGGGGCAGGAGGCACCTCCTCCATCCACACCCAGCCCTGAGCTGGGCCCCAATGGCCCCTCTGTACAGACAAGGAGACACTGGGAGGCCTGGCCGGGGTGACATGCAGCCCAGAACCCGGGGAAGGTGGAGGGCCCTGGGGGAGCTGGGTGGGGCCCAGGGTGGGAGGGAGGGTGCCAGAGCCCCAGGCACATCAGAGAGCAGGAAAGCCGGCCAGGCCAAGTCCTCCAGGAGTCTGTGGCCAGCCCAGCCTGCCCGGTCTCCATCCCCATTCAGTGTGACTCCGTTTCCACCTGGGGGTGAGGAGCTAGGCCTGAAGCAAGGGTCAGAGGCTGTCCAGGCCCTTGGAAGTGAATTGGCCTGTCCTTAAACCCCCCGTTGAGTCAGATCCACCCAAACCTGCAGGTCATGGAGGGAGGGAGTGTGGGAGGGTGTTTCTGCTTGGATGGTTGGGCTAAAGGCAGAATTGTTTTCTCCCATTCGTCCCTTGGCAGAGGGGTGGGCAGGCTGTGCTGGAGAATGTATCGGAAGATGGTGAGGAGCTGTCTGGGTGTTTGGGGAGACACCAGAACCCAGGTGAGGCACAGGGCGGGCAGGCTAGGGTCTGTCCTGGAGGGGAGCACTCAGCCTTGGGGCCTGGGCTTCAGATTTGCTGCCTGCCTTAACCCCGTGCCCTCACCAGGCCATGCACTGGAAGCAGGCTGGTTCCTGCTTCGTCATGCCATCCGGAAAGGTGACCCTGAACTTCGATCCCACGTTATCAACAAGTTCCTGTTGTTGCCTTTCCGCTCTGGATGGGACCCTGACCACGGAGGCCTCTTCTACTTCCAGGATGCTGATGGCCTCTGCCCCACTCAGGTGGGAATGTGCCCAGGGCCATGTGGTACTGGCTTGTCCAAGGCTTTTAGCCCTGGGAGGTAGGTGGGTGCTGTCATCACCCATTTCACAGAGAGGGACCCAGGACTCAGAGCAATGAACTTGCCCAGCGTGACCCCAGTGGTAAGGTCGTGACTTCTGTGCCAGTGGTCCTCAACTTATGTGCATAGGGAGGCCATTAGGGAGCATGCACATGGCTGATGTGGAGAGACATGTCCCATTCATCTTTGAAAGGCTCTCCTGGCAATTCTAAGGCAGCAGCAGCAAGAGCAGATTTGCACCCTTATGTCTGCTGCCTCTGTGTCTTGATCCTACTGATATGAAGAGGGTGACTGACCCTGCCACCAGCAGGATCTGAGTGGCCAAGGGGCTTTGTATGGACTTGCGAGATAGACAGGGTTTGAGTTCCAGGGCTAAAGGGGAGCCTACCCCATGCTTGCCCCTTGGAAGGGAGCAACTTAGGGTGATTCCAGGTCAGGAATCCAGTTCCATTGTGAGGGGCCGTTCAGACCCCCAGAGACATCTATCCCATGATTAAGTTCCAGGTGCTTGGAGTGTGAGCCAGGACCTGAAGGATGGGGGTGACTTTCCTGCTGAGAGTGGTGGCAGAGTGTGGGACCTAGGGCTCTTAGACACCCACCTCTGCTCTCAGCTGGAGTGGGCCATGAAGCTCTGGTGGCCACACAGTGAAGCCATGATCGCCTTCCTCATGGGCTACAGTGACAGTGGGGACCCTGCTTTGCTGCACCTCTTCTTCCAAGTTGCCGAGTACACCTTCCGCCAAGTAAGTGCTGCTTCGTGGTCCACAGCCCTCTGTGGGCTCAGCGGGGATTTAGAAGAGATAGTAAGCCACCATTCTGCCGCAGGCTGTCCTGGGTTGCAGGAAGAGGCTGGGCAGGGATGGGGAGGCTCGACTTGCAGCCCCTTCTTCCACCATACTGGGCATGGTCCCTCAGCTGGTCTGGGAGTTCCTGGAGGTCTGGGCCCTGGCACCCTCTGTTCATTCAATAAAGTGCCCCCTGCCTCCCTGGACCTCACTTCAGTAGTGGGGGTGGGGGGCAGACTATAAACAAGTAAATAAACATATAGATGGTGATGAGAGCTATGGAAATAAAGCAAGGCCAGGGGCCTGGGGGCTAGGGGGCGGGAACAAAGGCATAAGGGGAGTGTTCTGCACAGAGGAGTCGCCTATGCCTAATGTAGGTTTTACTGGGTGCTGGGGCTTTCGAAGGGAAGGCTGTAGGGCACAGGGAAAAGGCAGACAGGAGGCTGTAGCTGTCATTCTGGCTGGTGCGGGTAGGCTTAGCCTGGGGTAGAGGCTGCAGTGCGCAGAGGGGTCAGAATGTCATCGACTGGGAGAGGTCTGGGTTGGCCGCAGCCATTTGAGTGTCATAAGATGGATGATGCTTTGAGCCATGGGGTAAAGTCAGCTTTTGAGTACAGAATAAGGAAGCAGGGAATGGGAGGGCCCAGCAAAGGAGACAAGAATTAGCTGTGAGTAGGAGGGAAGCCAGGGATCCCCCCGAGGCTAAAGTGCTATGAGCAGTGCTGAGCTGTACCAGCTGCTGCCGAGGGGACACTTCAGGTGCTGAGCTTGGAGGTGAATGAAGATTCCTAATGTGCTTCTAAAGCCACAACTCACTCCATCTGTAAAGCCCAGTACAGGGGGGACTATAAGAAGGACATCTTATTCTGGAGTTTGTGGGCTTCAAAATCTGCTAGAAAATGACATCTTTATTTTCATGAATCTCTAACTCAAACCCAGCATTTGCTTCCATTATGAACAGAGGCACTGAACCACCGTGCTATTAGCAACGTGCAACTTTGTCACCAATAGAAGTCTCAGATGTCTTCATACTACACTAAAATGAGAGGCATCTTCAAGTATCACATATGCTCATCACTATTTCCAAACACAGGGGTCATGAGACCCAGGCTCTATCTTTTTACTGAATGTATTCATAAAGAACATGTGTTAAGAGGCCACCAGTTCTAACTGCATTAAGTGAAACTTAAGGAATATGTTTTAATGGCATTGAACAATTACAAGAGTTATAGTCAACAAGTAAATCATTATGCATTGACCAGCATAAGAATACAAAAAGCAAAAAGTCAGATATCCACGGAAAAAGTGGACAGGAAACAATTCTTCATTATCTTCCCATGTCAGATCAAGTAGTTGAAAAGTTAAGGACATGGATGATGTCACTAGAAAGATAGAATGAACAGAAACAGAACTAGTTTTATCCCCTATGGTGAAGAATACACCAAGTCATAGGCCCTAATTTAAAAAGACACTTTGACAGTGGACTTTGATGTCATTGATTTCCTGTGTGATCTTTCTGAGAAGGGGCTCTGTTGGAGTCTCTATCGGGAGGAAAGCAAAGGGCCTAGGCTCTAAGGTTCATCCTTGAGGCCTCTGAAAGGAACTGACAAACCTGCATGGGACAGGTGCCCATTGGGATGTGATGCGGGCAGGAGAGAAGGAAGGATTGCAGAATTGGTCAACAAAGCTGCTGGGCAGGGGCAGGCTTCAGGTTGCTTTGAGGGAGGAGGAGCCGTGTTTAGAACACCCTGCCAGCAGGGCAGGAGTCAAATCTCAGTGCTGGATGTCTACAATCCAAGGGAGTCGCTTGTTGCACAGTTGCACGCCAGGTCAGCACTCCATCAGGATTCTTTATTTCTTTGAACCAGTTTTATTGAAGTACAATTTATGTACACTTAAGTGTATCCTTGTTAAGTGTTCACTGAGATAGGACAATTTGCCCATCTGTGTACCCACCAGCAGCAATGCAGATTAAGTTTCTATCATCCCCAAGCAGGGTTCTTGCTGCAACTGGCAGCCTGACGCCACTTCTAGCAGTGCGTTACGTAGCTACAGACCCCCACCCCCTGCAGAAGAGGAAAAGGGAAAGCCCCTCTCTTCCCAGTTTGTCCAGGACGTGGCATTGGGTTTAAGAGCACAGATTATGGAACCACATTACCTGGTGTCACCCCAGGCTGTGACCGCGGGTAATGGTGCAGTGGGGACGGTGAGCACCTTGTGGCTTCTGGGCGGCTCCTGCAGGCGCTGGCTGTCACTGTCTCGTTATTTCAGTTTCGTGATCCCGAGTACGGGGAATGGTTTGGCTACCTGAACCGAGAGGGTAAGGTCGCCCTCACTATCAAGGGGGGTCCTTTCAAAGGTGAGTGGGAGACAGGTCAGGGCCGCAGGGGTGCGGGGCACTAGGCTGCCCCCTTGGCCCTCCCTCCCAACCTGCTGTCCCGCCTTTCCCCACAGGCTGCTTCCATGTGCCGCGGTGCCTTGCCATGTGCGAGGAGATGCTGGACGCCCTGCTGAGCCGCCTGGCCCCGGCACCCGGCACCCGGTCCCCGCCCGCTGTCCCCGCTCGCCAAGGCGCGAAATAAAGTTGATGCCGCTCCAGTGCCGCTGTACGCGCTTCTGTGTCGCGGGAGGAGGGGGATGTTCTCCTTCGGGTTAGCCCCGCGCTGACGTTCGCCCGGCCATTGGCCCGCTCCGCGGACAGGCCCCACCCCAGCACTGACCTGCCTTGAGGATTGGCCGAGCAGCTGAGAAGGCAGGCCTGGCACCGTGCACTTCCGCTCGGTGTCTCGGCGGGGCGCGCACCGCCCCTTCCGCCGCCGCCGCCCCCGCGAGCCCGGGCCGGGCTCAGTCCCAGCCCCAGCCCAGCCCAGCTCCAGTCTCAGTCGCAGCCCCAGCCCTGGCCAGGTCACCCCAGCGTCGCCTCGGAGCGCGGCGGAGCTGACTGCGCGTTCACGACCCGCTGGGAGCCGCAAGCCCCGCCGTCGTTATGAACATCCGCAATGCAAGGGTGAGGAGCCGGGACGGGAGGCTGTCCGCGCCGCGTGGGTGCAGGGCCAGGTGGCCGCGTGCGCCCCGGCCCGGCAGCCCCGCGCGCCTGCCACCGCCGTGCACAAAGAAGCGAAGGGCACTGTCTCCGTGGGGCTGGAGCTACCTGAAGAGACGGCCGGGGGTGCTCGGGGCGTGCTGCGGGGCTGGAAATCCCTTCTGTGCGGGGTGTCGGGGCTCTTTCGGGTGGTGTCCGGAAGCCTCCTGACTGGCGCTCATGTTCATTCCTAAAACAGACAAGTCCTGCACAGCAGCTGTGGGCCAGTCCTGTGCAAAGACAGATAGTCACAGCCGTGCGGGGTGGGAGGGTGCCCCTAAGTAGACAGGGAGTGGGATTCCAACATGACTGAGGCCTACTCAGTCAGCCCAGTCCCCGCCTGGCCGCATTCCACTGCCCTCCACCTCTGCAGCCAGAGGACCTAATGAACATGCAGCACTGCAACCTCCTGTGCCTCCCCGAGAACTACCAGATGAAATACTACTTCTACCACGGCCTGTCCTGGCCCCAGGTGCGCAGCTGTGGCACTGGGGCATGGGGAAAACCAGGCGGGAGAAAATCCAACCTGGCTTGGCTTGGGAGGAAGGGACAAGGTGGTAAAGAGCCCCAGGGTTGGTGGGGAGGCGCATATGGGTGAGTGACTACCCCGTGTTTTCGGCTGAATGGGGTGGGGATGGGCAGGAGTGAATGGAAAGGAGATGCCTAAACAGGGCTGAGAAAAAGGCAGGATTCCCACCTGTGTCTGTCCTCTTCCGGGCTAAGGACATGGGGCAGAGTGTGGTGGGGGGAAACCAAACCCCTTAGCCTAGAGAGGTCAGGAGCTGTCATTAACCCCCCACTTGACCTGCTTCTGTCATGCACACAGCAAGAGGCAAGCGGTGGGTGGGACCAGATGTCTGCCCTGGGCTCCTCCAGCTCTGACAGGAAGCTGTATTCTGAGTTCTTTCTCCTCTGTGTCACCCAGCTCTCTTACATCGCAGAGGATGAGAATGGGAAGATTGTGGGGTATGTCCTGGCCAAAATGTGAGTCGCCAAGGAGGGAGACAGAAGCTGGATGCCAGAGCTGGGGGGGACTTTGACGGGGGGGACTCACACGACCCGCATCTGGTGGGTGCTGCCTGGGTTGGTGGCTTTCTTTGTCTTTTTTCAAATTAATTAATAGACCATTTTTTCGCCTTCAGGTTTATAGAAGAGTTAAGTGGAAAATACAGAATCCCATATAACCCCTCCCCTCTCCCCCCTAGTTCCCTCTTATTATTAACATCTCTGTCGTCCCGTTGTTATAACTGATGAATCAGTATTGATACCTGGTTATAAAGTCCATAGTTCACACTGTTTCATTATTGATGTTGTACCTTCTGCGGGTTTGGAGAAATGTTTAATAACATGAATCCACTATTACAGTACTTTACAGAGTAGTTTCACTGCTCCAAAAATCCTCTGTGCTCTTTCATCCCTCTTCTCTCCCACCCTGTGGCAACCACTGATCTATTTAAGGTGTCCATAGTTTTGCCTTTTCCAGAATGTCCTGTTTGGAATCATAAGGTATGGAGCCTTTTCAGACTGGCTTCTTTCGCTTCTTCATATGCTTTGAAGTCTCCTTCATGTCTTTTTGTGGCTTGATGGTTTGTTGCATTTTAGCACCGAGTATCAGTATTCTATTGTATTCTGTTGATACTACACGTGGGGTTTTGAGAGTCCCAGCTCTACCCTAGCTAGGTCTTGGGGGACTTTGGGGCCACCAGAGGAATTTGTGTTCCTACTGTGCTCACACACCTGTGTGTGTGTGGCTGCATCTGTACCAGGCTCTTTCTAGCCTCTCTCCTTTCTTATTGCTCTAGGGAAGAGGATCCGGATGACGTGCCCCATGGACATATCACCTCACTGGTGCGTAGGGCCCACCCAGGCTCTGGTGGGGGCCAGTTGGGGCAGCCCTTGAGATCCCCCTTTCTCCCACCAGGCTGTGAAGCGTTCCCACCGGCGCCTTGGACTGGCTCAGAAGCTGATGGACCAGGCCTCCCGAGCCATGATAGAGAACTTCAATGCCAAATACGTCTCTCTGCATGTCAGGAAGAGGTGGAAGCCAGGGCTGAGGGAAGGGTGGGGGGAGACAGAGATATGTGTTGATATGGGTCCTGAGGTGCCCTGGCTTTGGAGAGGATCCTGGAAGTGGGATTAGTGGTGAGGGGGGCCTAGGAAGAGGGGCAGGATCTGGATATGCTATCCCTGCTTGGCCAAGTCTGTGCAGCTCAGCAGCGCCTTGTTCCCCTGCAGTAACCGGGCCGCCCTGCACCTCTATTCCAACACCCTCAACTTTCAGTAAGTAGATTGAAATTTTTCTAATGGAGTGGGGTGGTCTCAGGTCTGGCACATTGAGGTGGCTGAGAGGCCTTAGCTGCCTTCCAGGTAGAAGGGCAGGGGCAGCTAGAGGAAAGAGCTGGAGTCATCTGAGATGGGGAGCAAGCTGTGGACCCCACACATTGCCAGGCTGCCTCCTTCCCTCTCAGTGGTGACAGCGCCTGTCTGCTGTAGTCTCCTCAGGAGGATGGGTGACGTGTCCTGCTGGGTGGGGGGCAATCACTGGATGCCGGCTGGAGCTAGGTAAAGGGCAGCATGGCAAGGAGCACACAGGCCTTTCAGTGAAGGTCCAGGAGTAGAGGTAAGGGCCCAGATAGGAGCACAAGCTGGGGAGCAGGACTCAACCTGACCGGGCACACAGAAGCATCTGAGCGGGAGTAGAAGAAAGGAGAATGTGGTGCTACAGAACCCTAAGCATGTTCACACAAGAAAGGCCGTTGGCAAAAGCAGTGGAGGGATCTGGTGCCCTGGGTGTCCTAGTGGATGAAGGCAGGTTTGCCCAAAGAAGTGGGAGTCTTGTGTGCCCCACACAGGGCAGAGAAGGCCTGGTAGGGAAGTGATGCACCTAGTATATGGTAGCAGAAGCTGCTGGAAAGTGAGGCTGGGGTGGAGAGCCCACTGGGACAGCACTCAGCTTTAGTTTGGTGGGTGATGAGGAGGGACTGTTTAAGAAAGGCCATGGCTTCTGGGCTGGGCTTTCGAGGAGGGATCTTTGACCCAGATGCTGGTGGTCAACAAGTCCAGGGTCTTAGGACTGGCAAGGCCTTCCTAGGCCATCAAGTCTAGTTCCCCTCCCAGTGGCATGGCCCAAAGTCTGCCCATACACCTCCCAATGCACGCATGGCCCCCGAGCTGCTCAGGCCAAGGGCCATGCTGTCTGGCAATGACTGCCAGCAGCAGAGGCCACAGCACCCATCCTCTCCTGCTAGGCATAGGGACCGGCCATGTACGCTCAGTAAGTGCCAGGGAGCAGGGCAGGCAGGGGGAGAAGGGATGGCTAAGTTCAGGCTGTCAGCTCACAAGAAAGCATAGACAGCACCTTGGTAGCCAGGTTAGAGGTGCCAGATGGTGGCAAGACCCAGGTGGCACACTTTCTGCTTACTGCTGGAGAGAGCAGAGGGAAGGACACATTGGAAAATGGGGCTTGATGTCTCCGAAAGGGTCCTCTGGTGGGGAATGACACCCTGCCTCGCTAACATGACGGTTTGCCCTCTGATTTTGGTCCCTCCTCCTCTCCACTCCGTGCCCCCCAGGATCAGTGAAGTGGAGCCCAAATACTATGCAGATGGGGAAGATGCATATGCAATGAAGCGGGATCTCACCCAGATGGCTGATGAGGTAAGAGTCCAGTGGGGCCATGGGCTGCAGCCCTCACAGAAGAAGAAAAGCAAAGCAGGTAGGGGAGGCCCTGCTGGAGGGACCAAGACAGTAGGAGGCCCGTGATGGCCCAAGGCAAGAGGGACCAGGAGCCATGGCCCTCTTCATCTCAGTGTCCTCAACTGTCAGCTGGGGAGCTGGGCCTTGACAGGGCTTTAAAGGAAGCCATCACCCCAGGAGTCCGTTCTCTGAGGAAGAAGCCTGTACCACCCAGGCATGATGTGAAAGGTGAGAGAGGAGGCCCCTGGATACGCTGAGAGCTGGGGCCCAGGGAGAGCCATGGCCTGCCCCGAGGCTCAGGGGTAAGACAGAACTGGGCTGAGGAGTACGTCAAGGCCCTGTCCAGGGCTCCTCAGTGGGCAGTGCTGTCCAAATGGCTTTGCAGCAGCCACTGTGAGGGAGGCAGGAGCATCCTCGCTTTACAGGAGAAGAAACTGAGGCCCAGAGAGGGCAGAGCCAGGACCGAACCCCAGTCTCCTGACTCACTCCTGTGATCCCTGCCCTGGCTCTTCTGCCTCTCATTGTGCCCGCTCCCCTTTCCCCTAGCTTGGGTGGTGGGAGAGGGCCTACCTGGTCTGCAGGCTTAGGCCCTCTCTTCTTCCTCCCACTTCTCCCTGGGTTCCTGGGGGCAGCTAAGGCGGCACTTGGAGCTGAAGGAAAAGGGCAGGCACATGGTGCTGGGCTCCACTGAGAACAAGGCAGAGAGCAAGGGCAACTCACTTCCAAGCTCGGGAGAGGCCTGTCGTGAGGAGAAGGGCCTGGCTGCTGAGGACAGTGGTGGTGACAGCAAGGACGTCAGCGAGGTCAGCGAGACCACTGAGA